ACGGAATTTTGACCCATGGCCATGTGTCAATCGGTCAACAAATTTTGGTCTTGTTTATTTGGACCCAGCAGGTCCTTGTTGGCCACGCGTCTATCCGAAAGCCTGAGGCTCACATACGCGACCTGCATCGAGCTCGCGAAAAAGCATCGGTGGAGCCGGCCAGTGACCCATGTTGACCCAGTGCCAGGATGCGCAAGCAGCCAATCGTTTGGTTTGGGAGCTCTTGCCCAATGCTTAAATGGCCGTGGCTCAACACACCGGTACCAAAATGGAATCCTGGTAAATGGAAGCAAAGACTAACACCTGCCACTGCGTAACCCTACCTCTTTAGTTTTGAGCCAGACCCAAATGGCCGCCGGAGCCGGGCCAGGTTGACGGTTCCCATTGTTCGACAAAGCTTGGAGGTGGGGCGTTCAAAGACGCACGAACGTTCCTCCGGGCGCTGCTGCTTTGGGGAGTTTGCTGCTCTCGTTTCACATCTCAGCGGCTGGGAAGTGTTCCTAAAGCACTTCTCATCCAGCCTCCCAACCATTGCTTGACTGCTGGTGGGTTGGATCTCTAGACTTTAACTTTTTGGGAAATGAAGCTTCTCATCTGGCCTCCCAACCATTGTTTGATCAAGGGTCGAGTGGGGAATGCATGGTGCTTCAGCCACAGGAGCGGGCCACTGGTTGAGGGCCGGACAATCCATCCCAGCAGGAATTCCTCGACCTAGACAAGAATTCAGATGGCAAGTTGTCCTACACCGAGTTTGAGCAGGCGCGAAAATGTCACTTGCGGCCCACCATCCACAAGGGCACATCTAGCCGGCCATATGTTGGAACAACACATGAAATCTGAGCAGGTGCGACCGCCGAGGGAGAGTTGCACGCTGTGTACAATCATGTATCCTACACGCTTCCAACAAATTGCCAGTTTTGTCAATGCTGCTGCTCGCGAATGAAGCTGTGTGGGCTTGATGCTGAAGCGGCCCACATCGGATGCTTTTAGTGGGTGGAATCTGGGTGTTTCCTTCTTTGAGCGTACCCCTCGTTCTGGCGCTGTGCAGGAATACCAGAAGGGAAACCACCATTGTGGGGGCTCCCGTTAAAAGAAAAAGAAACAACGAGACCCATGACCGAGCAGCGACAGAGCTGGAATGCCATATGCAAGGAAATCATTGGCAGCCGGCCTTGGGGTTAGAAAGGTCAGCAACATATTTTCGCCTGGAGAAAGGTGGCACCTCGGATCCCAAGCGACGTTTTTGATGTGGACCGCGCCCGGAGGCGCTACGTGATCGCTGCAGCATCCCTCCGGGCGAGTCGGTGCCCTCGCACCTGCTGAATATGAATTGGAACAAGGCGCGAGCTCCGGGAAGTTGGCGCGAGCTGAGGCGAACGGCCCATTTTGCTCCAGCTTGTTTCATAGATTTGCATATTTCGATCAGTTTTGTTCACATCTTAATAATTAGAAGACATGTGCTTCGGACTAATTTGAGTCCGCGTCAGGGGTCCAGCAAAAGGAGATCTAAGCTTTTGCGCGCCGCACTGTGCTTCTTGTACTACTCTGTGTTTTATGTGTTCTAGAGAACGGTTGCATAAAAGCGCTTTCCTCTTCCGTCACAAGTTTTACAAAACATCTTTTTGCGGGCATCTGCCTGATCAGACTTTGACTTCGGGCAAAGTAGCCTTGTGGCAGAAGTAGCCTGTGAAGCTCAAAGGAGGCAAGCGAATCAATCAACATGCGTGCTGGGCTGAACACTGCGGTTGATCCCTCAGTGTGGGTCAGCCTAACGCAGTGTGGGCGGGCCAAGCAAAGCGATTTTTACATCTTTGCTTTCGGAGCTGCTGTCCGACGGGCGTGCCCAAGCCATGCCAACCTTGGCAGGCTGACACAGACAACGACGACGAGATTTGCTTTGAAGAATTTCTGTTGTGGCCCTAGCCTCAGCACATGTTCATGGGCTTCCAACCACGTACTTCATGTTGTATGGAGAAGCTAGACTATCCACAACCCTGTTGATTTGATCAACTTGCTACACTTCATACCTAGTGCGAAAGGGATCACGTGAGTGGACTCCCTTAGGCAAGTGCCTCCCCAAGACTCGGACACGAAGCTTGAACCTTGTGCCTTTTCCATTACCACTTTCCAGCACTCGGTCAGGTCGACGGAGCATGCTTTCACGGAGGAGCTGGTAGTGAATGATCCCAAGGACCGATGGGCATCCCAAACATGGCATCTGAACAGGACCAAGTAGGGATGGGGTCTGAAGAAAGGAAGTGCCAAAGATGCGATTTGCATTCGGTTGAGTTGCTGTTGCCAAAAGTCCTATTGACACCGGTGCCGACCTTTCCGCCTAGGACGGCGTGTAGAGACATCAAATCGCCTTGACACGCGCCAGGAGCGCTACCTACGGGAGCTCGCACGCAGGCATAACTTCACCCTGGACGAGGCATCATTGCCATGCCGCCCCTTCTGGCCGTGACCGATGACCGCGGCTGCCAGGTTGAGAGGTGCCACAAAACCTTCAGCGCCTGCGACTCGAACAGGACTCCCTCGATGGGTCTGGCGGAACATGTTCGTTGCGAGTTCCGGTTATGATGCAGGAATGGATTTATCGAAGAGGCGGAGTTCCGAAATGCTGTGGCCACCCTGTGGAATTGTGACTTGCTGGGGCCCAAGCGCTGGCGCTGGAAGCTATGGAAGCCGCTGGCACTGAGGGAAGACATCTCCGTGAAAAGGCTGAGACAATTCTGGCTGGAGGCCCCTGGGAATCTTGTGAGCATGACCTAGAGCGAGTTCTCGCGCGCAGGCCGACAAGGCCCGCTTGGGAAAGCTGGGTTTTGAGGCGCTGAGAGAGAGAGTCGACAGTGCCGCATGGTGGGAGTTCATTTTTGGGGCAGTCAAGGAGTACGGCCGTTTTTTGTAGGCTTTGTGCCTACCCACAGAGGGGAGTAGTTGTAACCAGCCCATTTGCCGCGGACTTGTCCTGGACCCAGTTGCGGCTGGGCTTTCAGAAGGCATTCAATCATATTTTGTTCACTTCGGGGGTTAGGTCCAGAAGCCGATAGCTTCCGCACTTCTGTGTTGAGCCATGTTCTTGCTTGCGTGCCCGTGCTCTTTGGGGTATTTTCGCCTGCGGCAGAATGGATCCTTCGGCACTTTGGCAAACCTCTGGGGCCATGGGCAGGGACATCGGAACATGGAAGATTGATTCCAGCCAACGGCGTCTACTTGATTTGCGGTGTGCTGACTGTGTTTTGAACGTGTGTAAACGCAACAAGCTTGTTTGACATGTTGGCCGTGTTCCAGTGTGTGCACGGGTTTGCTCGTAAACACATGTTCACAACACGGGCCCTATTGGGGCTGCACGAATTTGGAGCAAGCTTTTGCCCACAAGTGCCGCGACTTCACGCAACGCGTATTGTCCCGCAGTGCAGCTGGCATGATTTCAGCTGTTTGAAGTACACATGCATTGCCATAGACAGCATGATACTGTTTTTAGAATCTGTCGCCAGGCAACTAGCTAGTTCGCCAGCTAGCCAAGTTATTCCTAGCTCGCCAACTAGCTGCCTAAAGTGGCAAGCAAGCCACCTAGCCAGCAATCAAACTAATTTGCCAGTTCAATATCTACAAGCTCACTAGTCATCTCATGAGCTGACTGCCAAGTCTCCTGACTAACTAGCTTGCCAAGAGCTAATTC